TTTATAGATATATATAAAATTTATTGATTTGTCATAAATTAATAATAATTTTAATTAATAAATAATTTTAGTAAACGTCAAATATTTTTTTCTTTACACACTGTATTAATGGCGCTTTTAGCGCCAAAAATCTTTGTTTTGTTGATTCTTTCGCAGTCATTAATCCTCTTATACGTTTGAAGGATGTCGACTCTTGGATTTCTTTGAAAAGTGTCCGTTTCGAGTCTGACAAAGTCGTTCCTAATAGCTTCCAATTTTCCGCCCTTTAGAGATCCTCCTCCTATTCACAACTACAATTGAGATCCTTGTACCTGTGACTTCTCATATCTCAAGTTATCTTATTCTTCGCGTCTGACCCACACTTTTCTCATCTCGCGCGATATTTCCCGGCGACGCGCCTGCTGAAAGACGGCATTCAAGATTTATAAGGTTTACGACGGGCCGGTACGTTACTTGTAAATCTCCGTGGACGGAAGAAAAAACGCGGAAAACTTCTTTCCCTCTGTCGCGGAATGATTCGCGAATCCCGCATTCCAATTCCCTCGTTCGTTCCTTCGTTTGTTCGCCACTCGAGATCTTTATTTCGCGCTCGCCAATTCAGGAATCTTTTTTTCTCGCGGTCTTTACATTAAAAGAGCTCGTCTAACGCGGAAATAAGACGCGTATTACATTATAAGATATATATCGCGAAATAACACGCCGTGGAAGAACGAAATCAAACTCACGCCAAGTTTTTCCTCGGGAAATTCGTAATTTATCTTCTGGACATTTCTCTGCGACGGAGAAATATATTTTTTTCTCATTATTTTGTGTGTGTTGTAGAGATGGATAAAAGAAAGATAATAAAAGATTGTGTGTAAGAATGCAAGAGTGCGAAAATTTTGGAGCAATAATATCAATCAGAATTTAATAAGATTTTTATCGAGATTTGTGAAAGTGAAAAAAAATTGAGAATTTTAATTTATAATAATAATCGAAATATAATCTATAATTTCTTTTTTACACAACTTAATTATACATTTTAAATTGATATACAACAGTGATACAATACGCTATATAGGGTGTTCTAAAATAACGTAAAAAACACAGATTTTTATATAATAATTATTTTTAGAAAATTAATGAATTAGAAGAGTTTTACGTGGAATTTTACATATTTTTTCAAGAATATTTGCGAAATTTAGGGGTTTAATGATAAAGCCGTTGTAAACGTTATTTTGAGCAATTTTTGTGGTCTTTTTTCTGTTTCTGAAGAATTGTAAAAAAGAAAGATAAAACGTTCAATTTTTAACAAATTAATTGCTCTGTTTATTTTTAATTGCATTTATTCTCATTTTAATCGATATTTTAAGCTGTAGTTTTTACAAAACTTTAGGGCGCAAAATAAAAATTTGTTTGTTTAAAATTTATTTATTTTTTTGTATCGAGATTTCTAAAAAATTTAGATACAAAAAATCCGAAAATCTGTAAACTCGAGTAACAGAACCTTTTTAGACCTCGGGTTTTAAGATCCTCCTTAATCTCGCCTCGGTTCTCTATTTTCCTACGAATTACAACACACTATTTCGTGGTTTGCGACAGTTACTCCGGTTTTAACGCGAATTACAGGGCGTAAATCGCGTTGGAAAACGCTTATTTATTTCGCGATAAATCGAGGAGCGTTTCGCTAAAGTGGAATAACGAGAAACCGCGAAGGGTGGAAGCGACGAAAAGGACCAAGTGATAGGGGTTCAAGACGGCAAGGAGGGCAAAGGGAGAGGTCGTTGGGGGTTGACGCTAACGCTTGACAAGCTGCCGCCCCGTCTCTGTCGAGTAACCACAAAGCATCGAACAAAGGAATACCATCCGAGGACTTTCTGGAGGATCCTTCGCGCGCCCTCGCGGGGAACTTTATTATCCTCGGGGACAAAATGGGACTTTACGAGGCCATTGTGCCAAGCGGGGCATGGTCTTCCAGGTGTCAAATGGTATATTTGTTCTGCGTATTCACATCGCGAAGGAGAGAGAGAGAGAGAGCGAGAGAGAACTCAAGACTTTATATGTGAGCGAGAGATATTAAATTCGGAAAATATTAGATCGTTATTAGATTAAAGGAGAGGCGAAAGGACTCTCGTCTATGATATAGAAGATGTCTAGGCACGGTTGTATAAGAACGAGTAATCGAAAAAATCCCTATTCTTTTATTTTCAGAAATCTTATTTTAGCGCATAAACGCCTATTGTCCATTTTTAAAAAATTTTTTAGCTTTCTTGTTAATTTTTTTAAAAATAATTAGAAACTGCATTTTTAGGCTTCTATTTATCTCTTTGATTATCATATGTTATTAGATTTATTCAATTTTCTTTCATTATTAGGTCGTTTTAGTTTAATTCTAGGCAACGAGTGATTAAATATTTCATTAACTGTTAAATTATTAGATCAATTGACTTTATGCATATAATTTTGTAATTTAATTTTATTAAAAATTTAATTAATAAATTTATTGGAGTGTTGTATTTAATTGCAGTTAACGGAAAATCGAGTTTGACTTTTAATTATTATCTCACTCAATTATTCAATACCATTCAATGGATGAGGTTGTATTATATTAACTGGGAAACGACTTTCCGCGAAGCTATTACCGGCTTCCGTTATTTCGAAATAGCGTCCTCGGTTGCTGATCCTTGGCGCGACACGCCAGGATCATTATCCCTAATAACGCGACGAGTGTGTCACTCTCGTATATGTTGGTAACGTTCGCGTTTCGCGATTGCGCAAGGTCACCGCGGGAACTGACACTTTAACCCTTTCTACCGTGACGCAAATTGCGATCGGTGAAAACATGGCGTGCTTACTTTGCAAGCGTGATGCAATTTGCGTTTTTCAGGTAGAAAATTTTTTGACTTTTTTCTTAATTTTTTTAAAATAATTAAAACTGCATTTTAAAACTTCTATTTATCTCTTCCTATATCATATCTGTTATCAGATTATTCAATTTTCTTTCATTATTAGATCGTTTTAGTTTAATTCTAGGCAACGAGTGATTAAATATTTCATTAACTGTTAAATTATTAGATCAATTGACTTTATGCATATAATTTTGTAATTGAATTTTATTAAAAATT